CGGGAGCGCGTTCCCAAAGACAGAAGGGAAATTCTGCGTACGCTCGGGAGAAGGGGAGGTTAACAGGAACCTGTAATCCCTCTTTAGCTGAAACTGCCAATTGCTTCTAACAACCGCTCCTCCGAGAGCGCCCGGGCGGGCGATGAGTCACCGACACACGCGCTGCCTCGCCGACACCAACAAGAGCTTTGCCTCTGCAGTCTCCAGGAACGCGAAGCACATGCTGCAGTTGTCTCTGTTCAAGGCATTTCAAGAGCTGCCCGAGCCGCAGAGCTCTGCTCGCCTTGGCTGTGCCCCGTCCAGACACCCCGAACCTTCCTTCCTCCGAGGGACGTTGACGAGAAGCTCCTTTTCCTTGTGCTGCCGCAGCGGAGCCGCAGGCATTTGCTCCCAGCTCGGACGATGCTGCCGGTAACGTCGCCCAGAACTGTAGAAACTCGTTATTGCCAAACACATGCAGGTTTCTTTGATGTTATTTCTCAGTTTTTATTTTATAATCAGTGTCAGGAATATAATAAAATGGCACATTACAACTTAAAGCAGATCGATACAGTGACAGCCCACGAATATCTGCAGTATAGTATAAAAGGAAGCTGCATGACTGTTATTGTTTCAAGAAAAACTCCTCCTTCCTGAAACTTTGATGCCAGAAACAAAGCTTAGCCCAGTCAAACATCTAGCGGCAATTTTAAAAAGTAGGACTGTAAGTTGCAACGAGTTTCTTTACAAGCTTCATATCAGAATTCACAATACTGTTCAAAGTTAAATAGCATCCCGTCTGTGTTCATACCACTTTTTGACACATTTAAAGCGCAGGTAACAAACTCAATCAATTGCTTTGGCATTTGAAAAGAAAAGGGAAAGTTTTGCTATGAGAACCAATGGCGTGTGGTATTTACTAGGGTGACCATGGATTTGAAAGCATCTGCCACAGCTCTTTCAAATTTGCCATTTACAATTGGACGTGTTTGTTTTGATTTAAAAAAAAAATAAAACGCCACCGAGAAACTGCACAATCAGGAGAAATCTCTGCAGAAACGACAGACCTGGCTTCTCCAATAACTTATTGCTGCTGCAATGTTACAATTGTCATAATTACGTTAAAAGACTAGAAAAAGGGAAGAGCAGGAATCACCTGACGAAGAGATTTCTCCTGGTCGTCACAGCTTACACGTCTCCGTTTTACCTGTTACCCAATGAGCGGTTTTCATTTTCTGCCAACAACGTGCCAGAAAAGTGCATTTGCAGGGCTCATGGCACATCACTCGCCCTTCAGGCACAGCCCAAATCCCGTGAGGACACTTCTGGCTTTGAAATATGGTCACTCTAGTAGTACTACTAAAGAAAAACCACGAATGCAAAGCTTTGCAATGGAAAATGTCACCACAACGGCAGCTGGGACTGGATGACAGCGGTGCAGGAATGAGATCTACGCAGCTACTTAGCTCTTGGCTCGAGGTTTAAAAAACTCAGAGTTAACAAAGGAAAATCCTTCGAATTCTGACTGGTCAATGTTCCTGATGACTTCCTGGTCAGGAGGTGTTAAGACGGGTGGATGGCGAGTGAAAAACCGGTCGAAGTTTTCAGCATTGCGTCCACACTATGAGAGGGGAAGAAAAGAACGCACGGTGGGTGGAGAAAGCAGCGCGGGCTGCGGCCGAAGCCCCCCGCCCGGCCTCGCCGCGCGCCTCTCGATGCAGCAATGGCAGAAAAGTAAAAGGTGCAGAACACAGGTGAGCTTTGCCAGCCGCGAGGCGATGGTATGTCCTGGCCAGACACCGGCAAAACCCTCTGGGTGTGCCGCGGCAAGCAATCGCAGGAGAGGAATGAGATGGGAACACAGTTACTTGCTGCCGTTCCCTGCCTACACACACCTCCTGGACTGCTCAGAGGCTTCTCCTTGCCCCGGCTCCCGGAGCGAG